AGAAAACGTGGGAAAATGTATGTCAAATTAACTTTATTCTTTGTGTTTTTCAAATCATTTATTCTTTGCGGATATTATATGTTATGCATGTGCTCGGCTTTACATAGTTCAATGTTATTTTTATTTTTCACATTCGTTTTATTTTTAACTAGCCGTTCCGGTCAGGGAACGCCCCGGTCATTAAAGGATCATCATAATCACAATTTAGAGGACAGTTTTAATTCCTGATATTTTATTTACAATTGTGTAATAGTAGGTTCGATATGATGATGGCTGGTTTCCCCTTTTGGTGAAATAAAGAATGTTAACCTTTGTTATCCCCCCCCATCCCCACCAGCATAACCTTATTTCAATGGCGCAACCGTTCTGTTGTACCTAATTAAGATATCCAAGCCATTAGGGACGAGACAGGAGCTTATCCTTATTGTTCTTCCTCCCTCTCCGATCACCATTGATCAAATCCCAGATTACGTAACGATAAAGACAGGAGGTTGTAAAAAAATATAATTTTTTTTTATAGCAACACATTTTTAAGTGCACTGACAATGAGAAAATAACACTAAAACTAGTTTTCTTTATCGCTATAATTTGTAAAAGGTCTCATGAGCTTTATTTTTTTTTCAATTTCAGTGCATAAAGGTTTTTCATATTTGTTTTATTTTCTACTTTTATCGATTCCTACTTTATGAAGTTTACATAACTAAAAATATTTTATTTAAAGCACCAGCAGTAGCACGCGACATAACAAAGTATTAACATAAACCGAACCAAAACACTTCAGGTAAATCTAATTAATTAAAAAACAAAGTGCTGTTAGTCATTGAACTGATCAAAACAAATATAATGGAAGGAAAATACTTAATCTATCACGTCTTGAGAGCTGTGCACTAGACTAGAAATACATTTTGTTTTTGACTGTCACTGTTCATTAATGTTTTCTGTACCTATCCTAATATATAAACGTCCATGTGCGCACTTCTCTCTCTCTTTCTCTCTCTCTCTCTCTCCGCAACATATATTCCGAGGCTATGAGATCAGTATCTTCAGCGATATATGGAGAGGTTAATGATTCAGACTTTTGTTGAAAATAATGTGTTGAATGTATTAAATGTATAAACTAAATTTTATTTAAGACAAAAAATAAATATAAAAGCATATTCGAGTGTAGAAACACATATTTTATTATGCAACAGGAGAAGTGTTTATGGTTGTGACCAGAACGCTAATGAGAACATATAAGTAGCAAAAAATAAATAAAATAGCACTGGCAAAAAGAATAACGCTACATGAAACAAATAGAAAAATATCTTTATGAAACAATTTTTTGTTTATAAAAATGTAATATTACGGAAAATACACACTACTAATATTTTTTTCGATGAAAAATATAATTAAAACGGAATCATTTAAGTTACTTAGTCAGTTTGGGCATTTAATATGGTGTTGTGTTGACTGATAATGTTTATAATTTGGTTTTGTTTTTTCTCATAGGTATTGGTAGCTTATACTATATATATATATACTATATATGTACGAGTTTTAGCTATTTAGTTATTTATTTCCTTTATCACTAATATCGATCAAAGTGTAGTAAAGCACGTTGCGTTTTGACCAATAACTATATTAAAAATATTTTTCTCAAACAAGTATATTGTTTAAAATATATTGGCCTATAATTCACGTGTAACGGGTACCGATAGCTAATTAAGAATAAAGATGGCGTGTGTAGCGCTGATCACAGTATCCCTCCACCATCCACAAGTTGAGAACAAATACTTTATTTACTTATGCATTATAATGATAAGTTTTCTTTTATTTTCAACTATGTTTTCCAAAATATAATTAAATTTAAAATAGTGTACGGTCGACGGATCTTTTAATTTGAGAATACCATTATTTTTTCTAGATTTACCGACACATTAGAATAAGCTTTCGGAAAAAAAATAGAATCTCGGACAAACGAAAATTTGTTTGTAAAAAACAAAAAAACAATATATAAATGAGTGTTCCCTACTGAACTATTCTAGGCCTTAAACATTTTATATAAATGTTTGTTTCTTAGAAATGAAAGATGTTGAATTAGGTAATTATTTAATTACAAATTTACGTTATGATGAAGAGTCGTTTCTCTTCAAAATTTGAAATATTTTCATCAAAAGTATGTGCCTAGCTGGAGTCCCTGTCATGGAGAATGAGCTCGAAACATATCCCGTCTGTGTTAATTTAACGGTTTGTTTTTTCATGTATAGATAGTGCAAAGTAGGAAATTACTACGCACGAATGGTTCTAACTCATTATTATAATTTTTAAGTTTAATAATTTGTTTGATGATAACGTATTTGATAGCTGAGTTAAAAATATTATTGGAAGAAATCGATGTTTTAAAATGACAAAAACATGTTAGCTCAGGTGTGATTTTTGTTGGATGTGTATGGTAAAGTTAAGGTAGAGTTTGTAAATCGGTGTTTATAAAAGACACAAACAAGTTAGCTGAATTATGACGTCTTTTCAGATGGGGGGACGGGGCTGGTTTTTTATAACGATGTGTGCCACCGGGGAGGGAGGTGGGAGAGAAGGAAAATAATATAAAGAAAAGCATATTACTAATTAATACATAGGGACGTATAATTACAAATAATTTCCTTTTAAAATCCATTCAGCCTATTCTCTACTACCTTTGGAGGGCTTTGGCGTGCTTTAACATCTTCTTTAAGTCCTAAATCTATTAGACATATGTGATATATGTGGCTACATTGGTGTGATATCGACGATTTTTCGGCAGGTAGTGAATGTCCTCTACATAATGTTTCTTGAGAAATATTGGTAAAACCGCCAAAATCTTCCGAGCCGCCTCTGTTTAATCTTTTACTGCATTTGTCATGTCATTTATGGCACTTAAAGAACTTTCAGTAACAGATGCAAGTTTTTCCGTAGCCTGTATTAGGTTAATCAGCTATGTGAGACAAATATTTAGTTAGAAAAGTAATGAATATGATTCATCCTTTGATTCAAACTATCCCTTATACAATGTATAATTTATTCACTTTAATTCTGTTGAAACATTCTACAAATGTTTTGACATTGCGAGTTGTTTATATATATATATATATATATATATATATATATATATATATATATATATATATATATATATATATATATATATATATATATATATATATATATATATATATATATATATCTCCTACCCATCCGTTTAATGTAATGATGGGTGCATTACTTTCACTTTAAGTCTAAAGAACTAAAGTCCTTTAGGACATATCATATCAAGTTACCACCTACAAGGTTGCGAACAGGATTTTAATCCTAACCTAATAACAACCCCCTCTCTCCCGTATAGGAGTTTTTTTTAGATACAAGTTCTGAATATGAATGATTTTTTGCTTAACTTTTTTTCTTCATGTCTACGCCTGTAATGTTATTTACTTTTCTATAAAATAATAGTAAGAACACTTAAGTAAGGTTAAATGCCAAGCAGCTGACGTCACAGGTGAATTCTACACCTACCCATCTCTACTTCGCCATCCCAGTGTCCCGCCAAGTCTCAGACAACATCTTTTTATCGTTTACAAAAAGATTCCGGCCGAGCATGGTTCTGACCACACTATCCCTTCATATGCCAATAACACAGAAACAGATGAACTCTACTTCACGTGCCCCGTGTCCTGCTAGTCCCGATAGACAACTTTATCATTCACATTTATAAAAAAAAATGACAAAACAAATAATTAATATTTACGAGATGTGTTTCGAACCTGTACCGCACACAAGTTAGCGATTACACTATCAACTCACCTATCTGGTATAGACTCCTTGTATGAAACTTAAGTTATGCAAATAGGCCCTAGATCGAGCATTTCAAATTTAATATTATCCCAAATTAGCCTATTCCATAGCTAAACAAACAAAAAGATTTATATAAAGTAAAATATTAAGGCCTGAAATAGTTAAGTATATCTAAATAGAGCTAGATTTAGAATTTACATCTATTTAAGTCTATTTTTGCAAAATTTGCAGTATAGAATCCACGTATGAATCTTAAGTTACGCAAATAGGCCCTAGATCAAGCATTTCCAAATTAGCATATTCCATAGCTAAACAAACAAAGATTTACATAAAATAATTAAGGCCTGAAATAGTTTAGTATATAGATTCTATATTCTAGATTTAGAATTTACGTTTACTCTAGATCTAGATTTTACGTTGAGTCTAGATTCTACATCTAGAATCTAGATCAGATCTAAATTTTAGAAAATAGATCTAGAATCTAGATCTAAATCTAGAACTTATGATAGATAAGAGCTAGAGAAATTTATTGTAAAACTAAATGAAAAAGAAAGTTGAAAATTAATATAAGTGTTGGAACGGACGTATTGTTAAAGTTATAGCCGACAGAAAATTAGCTTTATAACGCGTTAAAGATCTGAATCGGCCACGAAATATTGTATTGGAGCCGCCATTAAAAAGTAAACAAATCAAGTGACGTCACTATTCCATCAAAGTAAAGCATTTGTTTGAAACTTTTAAAATGAATGTGGTTAATCTACCAAATTAATTAATTATTTAATTAACGTCTTTACGCTTTTTTATTTGAGCCAGAAAATTTTTGTTTTATCAACATTAGTATTACATTTGGTATATAGAACAACCCTATATGAAAGAATTTTCCACAAAATTATAAAATAATGCTTTTGTAGGTTAGTTGCCAAACGGCTACATAGTGCACAAATGGGTAAAAAATGGTTTGTTGCCATACGGCTACACAGCACACACACTTAATAAAAAAGATAAATAAAACTGTAAGCATAGGAAATTTACAATGAAGACAAACATTTATTCAACAGCAGCAGAGTATAACATGTAAAAAAAAAAACTATGGTTGATGAAAATTTTTAAAACAATTTGACTTCTGGGTCAAACAAAGGTGGACATTACATTTTTCGCATTTAATTCTTGCAAAACCTTTGCAGCCTGGATACTTGCAGCGCCCTTTATCTGCAACTGGCAGCGGAAAATGTCCTACATTGTCTGTTCTTACAGGTAAACTAGGCACGGGAGCAGTAGGTCCCCTTTTTTTTTTCTTGGCCAATTCTGCCTCTACCTGCAACGATAGGCGACCACGTTTTTTGCCAACCGGGTTACTGTTCAATAAACAAAAAGATATTTCTCTTTTAAATTCAAGCAGTGAATGTTGCGCTGACTTTGGGATGTGTGCTGCTTTACAATCTTGAACATAAATCAGCCAGGACTGTACAACGGCCAAGTCAAAAATATGTAAAGCGATTCTCATGTACCACTTTTTAGATCTGATGGGATTTCTATAGAGGGCAACCAATGAGTCCAACAGGTCCACGCCTCCCATAAATTTATTATACAGCGAAATAACTGAGGGGCACTGAACTAGAATGTCTTTTTTTTGCTTCTTATCAAATCTAGTGACTTCCTTTCTTGGTTCCAGTGCCCCAAAACTGCTAAGCATTACAACCGCTTTTCTGTCGAGCCACTTGATAGCATTCAACTCGACACCATCTACCACAGCTCTCTTCAGCACATCAGTCCCTCTTCCTTTTCGCGACATTTCCTTGTCTGTAGGAAACTCGCATCCTTTCAACCTGTTGGCTCTTACTGTGCCAAGGCAGGCTATTCCTTGCTTATGAAGGGTAGTTTGCAGGTTGATAGAGTTGAACCAGTTATCGATGTACAACTTGTGCCACACATGGCGCGGAACATCCTGAAGTAGCCGTAGTACTATGTTGCTGGACGGGCCTAGTCTGGTTGACCAGGACAGGGGTCGATTTTGCCAGTATAGACTTCAAGATCGTGAATCAGTCCACTAGCTCCCGAGCAGACAAAAATTTTGTACCCCCACTTTTTGGGCTTTTTAGCGTTGTACTGTTTGAGAGACGAGCGTCCCTTGAAAGGGACAATCTGTTCGTCTATACTCAACATTTCTGATTTCGGAAGCACATTGATTTTCCGTCTGAAAGCATAAAAAAATGGCCTTATTTTGGCAAGCTTGTCATTGCCATTGTTCTCTGCATTATCGGAGAAATGTAACTTTCCCTTGATCTCTTCGAACCTTTTTGATGGCATGGTGTCAGCCACTGGGGAGCATCTGGTGCCTGGGCTCCAATACATGCGTGCCCTGGGAATCTTTACGATGCTCATGTAGAATATAATCCCTATGAACTGTAGTAGCTCAGCTAAGACCAAGTTCAGGGGTCTGTGAATGTCCTTCTGTATGCTGTATCTATTTGATTCCAGCACAATTGACTCCATGATATCAGTAGACATTAAATCTTGATAATAAGACAAAGGCTCTCGTGGAGCTGGACACTCCCTCTGTGCCCCCAAGAAAAGTAGCTCGGGTGTACTTGTGTCAGTCGTCTTTTGTCGCCACACAATTTTGCGGGAGCCTGCAGACGGACCTGGCTCTATGGCTTGTCTGACTTCATCTGAAAAACAAATTTGAAAAAAATATATTAGCCATCATTCAATATATAGCAAACAGAAATAAAAATAATCACTAAACATATTACTTGAAATTTGTAACTTACCCTCATCTTCTTGTTCGGACACTGAACTTTCATCGCTGACTTCTTGCAGCAACTCTTCCTCCTCCTCATCAGTAGATATCTCACTATCATCAGATTCTGCAGGTATGTCCCTAATGCAACACACCTTAGCTTTGCTCCCGTAAAACTTTTTTGGATCCATGATACTAGAGAGAGAAAAAAGTTATATGAATAATAGTAGAAATTTTAGAATAGGGCCTATAGGTATGCAGGATAATAAAATTTATAATTACTAGGCCTAATAGTTTATAGCATTTGTGCTATAGAGTTAAATCCTACTATTCTAATTTTACAGAAAAATGTAGTCGTCAGTAGATCTAGTGTACATTTTAAACTTTAGAAGTACTAGTAGTTATAATAACACACACGACTCTACTAGATTCTAGATCTAAAATCTAGATCTAGATCTAGAATTAAATTTAGAAATCTTATGATTTGGATGAATAAATATAAACTATTTTTAATACTGGCATTAATTTCATTTTATAAAACATACTAAATATAGATTTTAATGGGTTTATGTTCATCTAAAACGACCGCCTATTTCTGTGTTGATGATTGTAGACATATGGCAACAGACCATAAAAGCAACCACATAGACATTTTGTAGACATGTGGCAACAATCCGTTTTTGGTCCAATTAGGTATAAAAATCAAATAGTAAGCTAATTATACATTAATATAAACCATCTACAGATATTTCACTACATAATAATATTTTTTTTACTGATAAGAAAGCTTTTAAAATGTATTAAATTTTAAAAAGTAAACCACCTACCTCGTAGCTGCCAAAGAACTGACTGACTCCTTTCAAAACGAGGTCGGAAATGAAACAAAATGTATTCAACGCTGAAGAGTTCGGGCTTTTTAAATAAGGGAGGTTATTCCAAAGAGGTGGAATATAAAAATTAGGAGTTTCAAATTCTAAATTTAATTTTACAGCTTAAATAATGCTACGTAGCCATATGGCTACAGTATGCAATATAGTCTGTCTGAAAATTTAAAAAATTGTTCTCTACCTACATACTATTTTACAGCTCTCCACATAGCGCAGATTCTCTCCAGTAGTCAATCAGACAAAAAAAAAAAATAAATAAAAAAAAAAATATTCAAACATGTAAACAAACTTGAGTTTTAGTAGTATAGTAATAATACGTAGCAATTTAAAATTCCACCGTTCTTTTTATATTTTATCATTATCATTATCACATTATATATATATATATATATATATATATATATATATATATATATATATATATATATATATATAATGTCATATATATATATTTTATATTTTATCATTATCATATTTTATTATATATATATATATATATATATATATATATATATATATATGTATATATATATATATATATATATATATATATATATATATATATATATATATATATATATATATATATATATATATATATATATATATAAAAAAGTGGTCAGGTGCCCGGTAGGGCACTTCCCGGCGCCGCAGATGCGTCAAATTTGGCACGATGGTGCCTTGAGGCGATAGAACACGAGGGCCGGTGACGGTTTTCCGAAAAGTCTACGGACAGGGGGTCAAAACTGACCTCGACTGACCGGCGCCTTATATGGGCTATATTACGAAGAAAAATTTCCTCCGACGACCCCCCTTGAAATTTTTTGAGGTCGTAGGAGAACGCCTTGGGGTGTCACAAAAAACTCGGCATATCTGGGAAAACTTCGTAAAGGGGTCAAAACTGAACAGTTGTATTACCCTATATAATCTTTGTATTTTATGGGAAAAACAGAGGGTAATTTGAAAACGGATTTTAGGGCACTAACCCTCTTTATATCTGGCTAATGTTTGCATGCTTATAGGTAAATGGCTTGGCCGTAGGGCAGACCTGTCGGTTTGACTCCAAGCCTTCGACGAGGGCATAAACATGACAGCGAGTGAAATTCTCTTTATATGCGCTCTATTACGAAAAAAAATTTCTTCCGACGACCCCCCTTAAAATTTTTAGAGGTGGTAGGAGAACGCCTTTGGGCGGTACAAAAAACTCGGCATATCTGGGAAAACTTAGTAAAGAGGTCAAAACTGAACAGTTGTATTTCCCTATATAATCTTTTTATTTTATGGGAAAAACAAAGGGTTATTTCAACGCAGACTTTAGGGTACTTAAACTCAGGATATCTGGCTAATTTTTTTGCATACTCTTAGGACAATGGCTTGACCTTTAGGGAAAACTGTCGGTTTCACTCAAAGCCCTCGACGAGGGCTAAAAAGTGACCGCGAGTGAAATTCTCTTTATGCGCTCTAATACAAAAAAAAATTTCCGACGACGACCCCCATTGATATTTTGTGAGGTGGTAGGAGAACGCCTTGGGGTGTCACAACAAACTCGGCATATCTGGGAAAACTTCGTAAAGGGGTCAAAACTGACCAGTTGTATTTCCCTATATAATCTTTGTATTTTATGGAAAAAAACAGAGGGTCATTGCCACGCAGACTTTGGGGTACTTAAACTCAGTGTATCTGGCTAATTTTTTGCATACTCTTAGGACAATAGCTTGACCTTTAGGGAAAACTGTCGGTTACACTCAAAGCCCTCGACGAGGGCTAAAAAGTGACCGCGAGTGAAATTTTCTTTATATGAGCTCTATTACGAAAAAAAATGTCCTCTAACGACCCCCCTTGAAATTTTGTGAGGTGGTAGGAGAACGCCTTGGGGTGTCACAAAAAACTCGCCATATTCGGGAAAAATCGGGAAATGGGTCAAAACTGACCAGTCGTATTTCCCTATATAATCTTTGTATTTTATGGGGAAAACAGGGTAATTTCTACACACATTTTAGGGTACTTTCTCTTTGTATAACTGGCTAATTTTTTGCATACACCTCTATAGATGACGACCGTATGGAAAAACTGTTGGTCAGCATCAAAGCCCTCGACGAGGGCTAAAAATGACTGCGATTGAAATTCTCATCATACGAGATTTGGTAATTTGGTCTATGAACAGGGGTGGTAACCTTTTAATGTAACATTTTTTAAATATTTTGTATACTCTTTTTAAGAAAAAAAAATCATAATGTATAGCATTGTTTTAAATGGATATTTTGTTATAAATTAAGTATATATATATATATATATATATATATATATATATATATATATATATATATATATATATATATATATATATACATTTACTTATAAATATATATACAAAACCATGTATATATATATATATATATATATATATATATATATATATATATATATATATATATATATATATATATATATATATACATATACTTATAAATATATATACAAAACCATATATATATATATATATATATATATATATATATATATATATATTATATATATATATATATATATATATAAATATATATATATATATATATATATATATATATATATATATATATATATATATATATATATATATATATATACATATACTTATAAATATATATACAAAACCATATATATATATATATATATATATATATATATATATATATATATATATATATATATATATATATATATACATGTACCTTTATAGGCCTGTATATAGTAGGCCTACTATAAGTAACTCAAATACTACTACGCTGCTGGAGCCTTAAAATAAGCGATTTATTAAGTTTTAAGACGTATGGTTGTACTAACAAGAAAAGTAGCACATTTATTCAAGAACGGAGTAAGAAATGGATGGAAAATGTTTTAACGGCGAAAGTATGGTTTAGGGGTCATCCATTTATGACGTCCACATGGGAAGGGGATCAGTATTTCAAGTTTATTTTTAACTAAATATTAGTAGGCCTATAATCTTTGTTTTGTCTCCAAAACTACGAATAAGATAACATGAGGTAAATGTAGTGTAGTCATTTTTTTTTCGAGTAAAAAAACTCAAAATAACCACGATACATTTTAGATATCTAAATATCAGCACGTGTATAATGTGCTCGCTTGATCAGGTGTACAGGGCTAACGACCAGCGCTACTTCGACAAAAAAATGGGGTATAGGGGGGGGGGGTGTGGTGGTTTTTTTATGGAAACACAGGTAGCGTAAAGTTGAGTAAAAGTAATATAATGACGTCATGTTGATTAGCGGAATTTTACCATAACCTATATAGTCGTTAATAGCTAGACAGCCAGAAACGACTTTAATATTTAAAAAAAAATGTGACTGCCTGCAATCTCTGATTATGTATGAAAAATATTGGATAAAAAAGCCTTTAAAATCGAGACGCAGGGTACACAGCGTCCATGCGCGACCATTCTTTCAATAAAGAACAATTCTAGCGCATTCACACAAGCATAGTAAATGTACACGCCGAAGACTTACGGACATCTTGGAAAAGTTTAACTCCCAATTTTTATTTAGGCCTAGTAATAGATGTTACCGAAAATATCAAATCCCTAAATAACATTATAAGTTAATAATGTAATAATGTACACATTACATGTTAATGAATCAGTAATTTTGCGTCATATTTTGAAAGGTATACTGAATTGTTTTTGACGTCCACATTGCGGGTGGGGTGGGGGGGAGGAGGGTTCATCGAAAGTGGACTCGTGTGTGGACGGGGCGGGGGTGTCTAAAATGGATGAGCCTACGACTGCTAACGAAAATACCACGAGTTTGGATCTTGGGCTGGAGTCTGTCGGACATACTTGAGACAACCCAGCTCTAATGGGTACCTCACTCACGTTAGGGAAATAAAATCGACTGGGCATAGTGCATCCCGCCCGGAAGATTTAGTCCGCCCCATCCCTTGAAAGATTCAAGCGCCCCCACTCCTTCTCAGAGAAAAATCTTTTGAAAGAAACTGGATGAAATCTACTTCATCTGCCCCTCGAGTTTCTGGACTGCAATAATTTAAAAAAAAATTCTCGCCTGTGTACATTTCTTTTTCTTTTTGTAACGATACATACCGCAATGAAAATATTTTCGCTTTATGTAAAGATCATGTGATTCACGCAATGTTCAAGTGTTTTGGTGTATCGTATTTTATTACGTTACGTAGGCCTATATCATGTAATCGAAAGCAAATCCATGCTTCCGCTAAACAGTGTTACAGCTCCTTCAAACGGGACTTAACTATAAAACTCTACACTTGACTGG